CGGTGATTCACATTCCGCGTCATTTCTATACTACAAATGTTGGCTATGCTAAGCGCTGTTACAGTAAAAACTGGCTAATGTTAGTCATAGGAAATGTTCACTGTACTTAAGCACAATGGAATTATTAAAGCGGCGGAAATTAAACTGACCGAGGCGCAGAATAATGCAACAGAATCTTATCTATATGCCATACGACATTATCATAAGTTAATGAAATTAAATAACAATTTCATAAGTAAGTTTTCGACACATTCTAAAAGTATTACACAAGGACTTTCCCCTCTTGGGGCTGAGACCACGCTAGCATTGAGATTGATAAGGCTGGCGGGGATTTAGCTGCATGATTGATTACAACTGAGGCATGCGGGCGGACGCTTACCGTATCATTTGTGGCGCCTTTCGCCAGAAAGCTAATATACGTTGCGAAAAGACAAACGGTCACCGTTCCCAAAATAAGCACTGACGTCTTGGCAAAGAGGGCGGCGCCCACTAGGCACACCAGCAACATGCAGGTATTGATTAGGCTGCTGACCAGAAAGCGCCACCATTTCCCATCGGGCAGATGGGAGCTGGCCTCGTGTATGAAATGACCGCCGGGACCAAAGTTATCCATAACGCCCTCCGTACAGCCGGATATGGCCATGGCGCAGCCCACAACATTCGCAAAGAAGAAGAGCGTGCCAATGGAGCCGCCAAACTCGAGGCCCAACGTGCGGCTAATCATAACTGAAAAACAATCAAAATTAAGAGTACGCACAGTTTTTCCATACTATGTGGGTACTCACAGTAGACGCCGCCGCCCTCCACGGCACCGTTGGTGGATATAGCGCAAACGGAGGCGACTGTGAATAGTAAAATCGCGTAGGCGATGAGGAACTGCAGAAATGTTACATATAAGCCCGCATTGCCGACAATGTAGCCTGTGGGGTAAAGAGAGGGTGGGTGGGAAGGGAAGGGAAGGAAGGTGGCATCGTTAAAACAAGTGCGATATTGTGACGTCACACACACACACTCACCCACACGTATGAAGACCAAGGCGCTGAACATGGAGAGCGCTACGGGACTGAAAACGCCTGCGAATGTGCCCAGTGTGCGTCCGCTGCGCTCCGGATCCTGCATGCCAAACTCCACGTAGCCATCGCTCGACTGTGGCGTTACGGGACGTGCAGTGTCCGCACCTCCGCCGCCGGCACCAAAGAGCGAGCCAAAGCTGCGAAACATATTCGAGGCGCTGCCATTGCGCGGCGCTGCAATCGGCGCCGTCTCCTGATCCCTGCTGTTGCTCATGGCAGCTGTGCAGCTGCTAGCTGCTGGAAATTAACTGACACGCACACAGGCACTGGCAAGCATAATACGCCCACAATTGCCGCAAATCAAGGGAATTACTTGATGTATGCTATTTGGAGCACTTCGCAGCTTTTGATTCTTTTGTTTGCTCTTTTTTTTTTTTGTTTTTCACTGGGTTTCTGGTTCAACGCGTCACTTGCTGAGTCGTCGTTTGTCCGTTGGCACAGAGAAAACACGCAAAACTGAGCCCCCCAATGCCCCGCAAGGGCAGAGGCTCCAAAAACTACAACACAGCTGGCCGACGCCATTTATGTTTAGGTGGTTTTTTTCTCTTTTTCCTTTTTTGGTATTTTGCACAATATTCAAAATCAGTATTTTTATGCCGCCAATGAACGGTCTCATTTCACTATTTGAGTAACTGCGACTGTGGCAAAATGTATAAATTATTGATATAGACCAATTTCGAAATAAATGCCTATCTGATGCAATCCAATCCAATTCCAAGCCCTAGCCTTATGTTTTAATTAATAAATTGTCAATTTAGTGTTATATAATTAGTGCAGTAATTGCATATTTTGACCGTGACTGTGACTTGCGTTCATTTACAGCTACGCCGGCAGCGCTCATCTCTAATTCACGCACATCTGTTTTGTTTTCAGCTAAACGTTTAACTGCGGAGAATTGTTTCTCTTGCGCTGTTAATTGCGAAATGGTGAATGATAAAAAGCGGCGTTCACGTTCCCGGGAACGTTACAGGGACGAACGTGGCGCAGCCACAGCCGACAGAGATCGGGAGCGCGAACGAGAACGCGAACGGGAACGGGAGCGACAACGGGACAGAGATGCGACGAGACACAGAGAGCGGGATCCGCGCGACAGGCAAACGGACAGGGAGAAGGAGCGCCGGCAGCGACGTTCACGTTCCAGGCAAGTAAACAATTAAATTAATTACATTCAAATTAATAATATAAAACATTGCGCAGGGAGGAGCGCGCCAGGCGGGGCGGACGTTCGCCGGAGCGTCAGCGTCAGGTGCGCGAACGCTCGCGGGAACGTGGAGCACGCAACGGCGAGCCCGAAAAGAGGCCCAAATTGGACAGTTCGGCTTCCGGAACTTCTGTTAAGCCGGAAGACGAGCAACTCGAACAGAAAAGCGATGTCAAGCAAAAGAAGGAGCCGCTGTCACTAGAGGAGCTGCTGGACAAGAAGAAGCGCGAGGAGGAGGCGCGCAGCAAGCCCGTTTTTCTGACCAAAGAGCAACGTGCCGCCGAGGCGATCAAACGCCGCCAGGAGGAGGTGGAGCGCTTGCGCGCCGCCCGCGATTCCGCCCGGGATCAAATGCAATCGGCCAGCAGCAGCAAGAGCAACAGCGGCATAGCCACAGCGTCGGCATCGCTGCCCGTTGCCATGGCGCCGCCGCCGGCGCCCATGAAGTCCGAGCGACGCGAACGTGGCGGAGATCGCGGTGGTGGCGGCGGCGGCGGTGAACGGGATCGCGACAGGGACAACAAACGTGTTGAGGATCTGACGCACAAGGACAAGGAAAAGGAACTGGAGGCCATACGCGAACGCTATCTGGGCATTGTGAAGAAGAAGCGACGTGTACGACGGCTTAACGATCGCAAATTCGTGTTCGACTGGGATGCTGGCGAGGACACCTCCATTGATTACAATAATCTGTACAAGGAGCGGCATCATGTGCAGTTCTTTGGACGGGGCAACGTCGCCGGCATTGACATCAAGGAGCAGAAGCGCACACAGAGCAAATTCTATGGAGATTTGCTCGAGAAGCGGCGCACCGAAGCCGAGAAGGAGCAGGAGAAGGTGCGCCTGAAGAAGATGAAGCGCAAGGAGGACAAACAAAAGTGGGACGATCGACACTGGTCCGAAAAGGACAATGATGAGATGACCGAACGCGACTGGCGCATCTTCCGCGAGGACTACAACATTACCATCAAGGGCGGCAAAATACCCAATCCCATACGCAGCTGGAACGAGTCCGGCTTTCCGCCCGAGATCATCGAGATTATCGACACGGTCGGCTACAAGGAGCCCACGCCCATCCAGAGACAGGCCATTCCCATTGGGCTGCAGAATCGCGATATTATTGGTGTCGCCGAGACGGGCTCCGGCAAGACGCTGGCCTTCCTTATACCGCTGCTCTCGTGGATTCAGTCGTTGCCCAAAATCGAGCGCCTGGAGGATGTGGATCAGGGCCCGTATGCCATCATAATGGCGCCCACCCGCGAATTGGCCCAGCAAATCGAGGAGGAGACCATCAAATTTGGCCAACCTCTGGGCATACGTACCGTCGTCGTTGTCGGCGGCCTGTCCAGGGAGGAGCAGGGCTTCCGTTTGCGTCTGGGCTGTGAGATAGTCATCGCCACGCCGGGTCGTCTGATCGATGTGCTCGAGAATCGCTATCTGGTGCTCAATCAGTGCACGTACATTGTGCTCGACGAGGCGGATCGCATGATTGACATGGGTTTCGAGCCGGACGTTCAGAAGATTCTCGAGTATATGCCGGTCACAAATCTCAAGCCCGACTCGGAGGAGGCCGAGGACGAAAAGAAGCTGATGGAGAACTTTTACACCAAGAAGAAGTACAGGCAAACGGTCATGTTTACGGCGACGATGCCGCCGGCTGTGGAGCGCTTGGCGCGCTCGTATCTGCGACGTCCGGCCACGGTTTATATCGGTTCCGTGGGCAAGCCGACAGAGCGCACCAACCAGATCGTGTACATGATGGGCGAGAATGACAAACGCAAGAAGCTTATGCAGATCCTGTCCGCTGGCATTGAGCCGCCGGTCATCATATTCGTCAACCAGAAGAAGGGCGCCGATGTTCTGGCCAAGGGCTTGGAGAAGCTCGGCTACAATTCCTGCACGCTGCACGGCGGCAAGGGCCAGGAGCAGCGTGAGTATGCTTTGGCGGCGCTCAAATCCGGCGCCAAGGATATACTGGTGGCCACCGATGTGGCCGGTCGTGGTATTGACATCAAGGACGTCTCGCTGGTCATCAACTATGACATGGCCAAGTCCATTGAGGACTATACGCATCGTATTGGACGCACGGGTCGTGCCGGCAAAACGGGCGTGGCCATCTCCTTTGTCACCAAGGACGACAGCAGTCTCTTCTACGATCTGAAGCAGTGCGTCACAGCCAGCCCGGTATCCGTATGCCCGCCCGAGCTCACCAATCATCCGGAGGCGCAGCACAAGCCCGGCACCGTGGTCACCAAAAAGCGACGGGAGGAGAAAATATTTGCTTAAGTTCATTAAAAACCTAATCGTTCGGCATTAATAAAAAAAATATTAAAATTTAAAACAAGTTTCGACAAAAAGTACCCATTTCTATGCAGGATTTGTGGGCAGGAGCATTAAAGTTGATATTTATAGGAAGCGAGAATTGTTGGGAACTTAAAGTAGGGTATTAAATGGGATATTATAAATATTGTTAAAGGGTATTACATTTGTTTTTCAAGAGGTCTTGCTCAAACTTACAAATTACAAACTTTATTATGTTAGACAAATCTTAGCTACATTCATCAATATCAATATCAATCTTAATATCGATATCAATATCAATATCAATATCAATATCAATATCAATATCAATATCAATATCAATATCAATATCAATATCAATATCAATATCAATATCAATATCAATATCAATATCAATATCAATATCAATATCCATATCCATATACCTACTCATATCTTTATCTATATCTTTATCAAAAGGTACATTGGGTAAAAATTCCAGATATTTTAAACATAATTTAACGAAATTCGTCTTCATTCTGCTGCTAGGCAAAATATTGTACATAATGCGATTACTTTATCCTTTCCTATATCTATATTCTATCCTATATGTATATTCGATCCTATATCTTAATTCTATCCTATATCTTAAGTCTATCCTATAACATATATGATACTATTATTTCGTAGCCCTGCCGTATTTTAACTAAAATAATCTACAGTTTAGTTAGCAACTCATTTAGGCTGTTGGTCGGCACGCACATTAGAGGTATTCCCTATCTCATCAGCCGCAAGAAGAACGCGTTTCGACTTTGTTTCGAGTCTGGCGGCAAATACTTGTCATAGAAATCGAGGATGACCTCCTCGATCTTGAAGCCGAACTTTTGATACAACATGACCGCCGAATTGCTGGCCGAGACGTGGAGCGTAATATCCTTGGACATGCAGGTCTGAATGAGATGATAGAGCATGAAGCTGGCGATGCCGGCGCGCTGCCAATTGTGGCGCACGGCCATAAAAGAGATGTACGCCTCATTGTAGCCCACGTCCGGCACGAGGAAGCCACAGCCGATGACCAGTTTCTTGTAGAGCGCCACGACGCTGTAGTCCGGATAGCTGAGGCAGTCGCTCACTGGAATAGAGGGCATACGGATTAGGCTATGTAGTTGCAGTTAGTGTGGACGCCCTACTCACCATCAATGCCCGGCCAGAAGACGCTCTGGAGCAGCGCATTGACCGCCGGTATGTGCTGCGGGCGCACATAGCAAAAGTCGATGGTGGAGCGGTTGGGATAGCACCTATTGACGCGATACTGGAGCTCACACATCAGCCGCAGCCAGGGCGGACCCATGCTCTGGTTGCGATAGATGAAGGGATGCAGCACGCGCTGCGTATAGGGCGACTCGAACAGCTCGTATTCGGTGTGGCCCACGATGCGTGCATAGAACGAACTGCGATTACTGGGATTACCCTGTTCCAGCAGCTGATATCGATCGAGTATGTGTGCCTGTTGTTGCTTGGCCAGCTGCCGGCGTGCACGCGCCGTGGGATCGACATGCTCGTCCAGATTGAAGATGGGTCGATTGTGCTCCCGTTTCCATTGGCGCACGCACAGCTTGCGAAAGAGACGCCGCACGTAGGCGGGCACATTGCCCTGCTTGTGCGGCTCCAGCGCGAAGATCTTGTGCAGCTGCTGCTGCAGTTGTTCCTCCTCCTGGACATTCATGAGACGCAGTTGCCGTTGCTGCGTCGCCTCATCCTGTTGCGTCTCAGGCTCCTCCTGCTCGGTCTCCTGCAGCCAGGGCCAGTTGCGACGCGGCTGTCGAACAAAACCACTTGGCTTGCAGGGCTCCAGGCTAATCTCTTTATTGCTGCTCGTTGCTGGTGGCTCCAGTTCCGCGTCCTCCGTCTCCTCTTTAACCTCCGGCGGCTCCTCCTTGACTTGTGGCGGCCGCTGTTGCTGCTCCTGTGCCTGAAAATTTGTCACCTGCACTATGCGCGGCTGGTAGCTGTTGCTCTCCTCGTCTGCTGGCTGCTCTGTTTCCATGGGCTCCTCCTCGCATTCGGAGCTGCTGCTCGAGGACAGCTTTGGCTGCTCCAGCCTTGGCACAGGCTCGGTCTCCTCAACTGGCGGCAAACCAAAGTTATTTTCCAGCTCAAACAGGCTGGCGCTGTTGCCGGGCGCCTCGAGCAGCGCGTCGGACATGAAGAAGTCTCCTTTGTCGCCGGCGCCAATTAGCGGCGGCGGCATAAACATGCTCAGATCATCGCCACCCAGGCTCTCGGCCAGAAAGTCCATTAGACTGGCCTGCACGCTGCTCAGCGGCTGCTGCTGTGCCGCCTCCTCCAATGTTTCCTCCGACTGCTGCAGCTGTTCCTCAGGCTGCAGCTGCGACTCCGGCTGCAGCTTGGGCAGGCGACCCATGTAGGGACTGTGAGAAACATGCTTGAGTAAAATTTGTTAAATAATTTGAAGATCTGAGCGCTCACATGGCACGCGCACAGCCCTCGCTGGGCGGCGACAGGCCTTCTGCCGTTTCCTCTGTTGTCACGGATGCCTGTGCATCGCTCAGATGATCTGTGACAGACAAATCGCTGCCGCAGCTGTTCTCGTCCAGCGCTGTCGCACGACGATCCGTGCGCAGCTGCTGACGCTCCAGCAGGCGCTGCTCATCTGCAAAAGGCATTTTTATATAAACTCTTTCCCCGATTTCAAGCATAATGCACACTCACACTCTGCGCGCACGCTACGAGGCGTTAAATTGGGCTTGGCTAGTCGCCACCAGCCATGCTCCAGGCACACGTTCACGCCAGACTGAAAGTATTCCGGGCTGTTGTGCGACAGAGCGCCCGAAACGGAACCAGCCCATTGCTTGCGGCGGCGTCTGTTGGTAAATAGAATATCTGTTAGCCTCGGTCGATTAACTCGCTCCAGCTGCTCGTACTCACACACGTGGCTCGAATATGTAGTTCCAGTTCTTGTCCACAAAGCTGATAATGTGCGTCCGCCAGTGGAAATAGCCATGATGGCTCAGGCCCTTCGACTTTATGGACAAATTGTAGAGCGTCAGCGTCAGCACCAGCAGCCAGGGTATGCGCTGGCGTACGAAACGCTCCTTGGGCACGTCTTCGTCCGCTGTTGGTTCCAGTCGCACGCATTTGATGCACGTGAAATCGAAGAAAACATCGCCCAGCAGATCGCCCGGCGTGCTCGCATGTGGCAAGCATTTGATGTGCACGCTCTGCTCACACTTCTGGCAATCCAGATAGTTGTCATCTTCTATGGCAGCCTGGCAGTAGTCGCATCGCGTTTCGGTTTCAGTTTCATCGTCCGCATTGGAACGGGGCATTGTGCACGCTTAAAACATGTGTAACTGTTTTGATAATAACAATTTCTTGCGCCGCTTTCTTGAAACGCTCGCGGCGTTGCCACACTGTGCGAAATACCAAAAATGCTGCTGGTGGGCAACAAGTTGTGCTAGGTACGCAGTCCTTGACAATATGCTGTAAATACTTGTATCTGTTTTGGTATTTTGCGTTCGCAGCGTACTAGCCACAACATTAAATAATTTGTTTGCTTGGTATTTTAAGTATTTAGTATGTGGTATTATAAGTTATAAGAAGTTGCTAACTGTAAAATTCAAATTTTTTTTTGTTATCCAACCCATGCAAATTTTAAATATAATGTTGCTATAGTATGATATTTTAATGGATCAATAATAGTATATCTCTTGAATTGTTGCAAGGAGTGCATTTTGATCATTATTTGTTTTCTCGCCCGTTGTAAATGAGCCGAACGCCGCTTGCAACGTCAATCATAGGCAACAGCCAAGCACAAAAGGCGGCGAAAATTAACTGTATATGCATTTTGCATATGACGGCGGCTTTGATTGACAGCCAGCGGCAACCCCGCTACCCCCCCGCCACCATACCAGGACATAGTGTGGGTGCATATAGAGTACTCAATGCTCATCAGGAACAGACGTGTCTACTGCAGCCGTTGCTCAACGCAAAATGTCATTAATGGGGTCTTCTGCGGAGTTTTACGCATAATTAAGGTCGTCAACGGTGTTGTCGGCGGCGGCAGCGACGTCATCGTTGGCTTTGGGCGTGCTTAATGTTGTCTTAAGCGGCTCTAATTACCCATTTGCAGTTGTTGACGATTTGGTCAAGTGGATGATTGGTTTAACTGATGCAGCAGCAGCGGAGTGGAGTGGGGTGGGTTGGGGTTCATGCTGCTGCCCCAATAAGCATGCTGTGAAAATTGCATTGCGCTTTTCATTTTCACATTTCACTATTTATTTCAGTCACTTTTATTTTGCAACTGCTGCTATTTCTATTGCTTGTTGTTGTTGTTGTTGTTTTTCCGTTTGTTCGTTTTGTTGCACTTTTCCGCACAACTTTTCAGCAGTTTTTCATTTCATTCGCAATGCAACAGCCCAGCACGCCTCTGTGTCCATTGTGCCTTGTTATGCCTTTTGGCACTTGAACGAGACACAAGAACAGCAACAAAACAAAAGAGGAGAATAAGGCGCTTGACGACGCTGCTTGACGGCTATATACCCTGTAGTAAAGGTGCTATACAAAATAATCCAATTATTTTTGGCAGCAATACTCACCATTGCGAGCATAACAGTAAATATCGCGCATTGACAGTTTGATCACCTTTTGAACACTATTTAATCTTCATGAAGTCGTTTTCTATTGAGTAATTGATATCTTTTGCGCCTAAGCGATCCTCGTTTTGCACAAAAATAAAAACAATTATTCAGCTTTATGCTTTTGACCCCGTTATATGCTTGCACTGCACAGCTACACCAGAGAGCGTGCATTGTGGATGGTATGAATGGGAAGAGAGGTAATTGATATGCTTACTGCCTTCACGCCATTGGTCGTAATGCTTTTGATCCCGTTATCTTAGTTGAGTATCCAGCCGCAGCGAGGATTGCACATGCTGTGAGCGCAGGAGCTTTCATAGTTGTGTGCTCTTAGTTGTTAATGTGTGTGTGCAAATGCCGGCTTAGCGTAGACGTCAGCCTAATGACGCAATTCAGTCTGTGCGCGTCTGTCAAATTGATCGGCCGTATTCACTGCGCGCGTGCAAAAAATCGTTTAAAAGTTTAATAAACAAGTTAATAGATTAATTATATTAAATGCGATTAGTTCGTGCTGTGTGTATTTGTGAAGTGCCATTTTTACGTATCTTACAGCTATTCTACGCACTTGAAATTATGTTTGACAGACGGTAAATTACGCGCCATTTGGTGATGCATTTTGGCGCGCTTTCGACTTGAAGAGAGCGCCAATGAGAGTTGGAGAGAGAGCAAGAGAGGAATGTGTATTAGCAGGTAATTGTGCTCTTATATTCATTTCTTTTGTCAGCTAGAATACAGTTAGGTATTTTTTTTTCCGTTTTTAAACGCTTACAAAGGGTATTATAATTTTGTGAAGAATCAGGCATCGGCAACCCCATAAAATGCACTTATTCTTAATCAGGATCTATAAGATATATTGTTTGGTATGTTTAATCATTGTCGTTAGCATTGTTATTAGCTATAGACTGTATTACCGTATTATATTATATAACCGTCTCCATGGAATCAAATACCATATCCGTAGCCTGGGTTCCGGAGTACGAGCTGGGGTCCTTAATCATTGACTGTTACCAATCGAAACCCATTTCAATATACCCTATTTGCTTGCTTAAAAACGCCGCGTATAAAAAATTGCAAACCAAATTTCATTTTTGTCGCTTGAAGCTGCCGATGCGGCACATAAAGCCGACAATTTCGCAAGTTGCCACGAAAAGGAATTCGCACTACAGAGTGCACCAGACGCAGTCCACTGTCCCACTGCCCATCCCAGCCCATCCTCAAATCAAACGAGAGTAACGAGCTTTCCAGCCGATTTAATGGCCAAACAGCGGGCACATCCCGCACAAAGGCAAACAAACGGCGTCTGGCTGTCATTTAATCGAAGCCATTAGCGTTATTAGTGCCAGGATCGTGACCAGCTCCTGCTCCTCCCCCCCCACTCACACTCTGCTTCCACTCCTTCACCTACTCCTAGCCCCACTCCTACTCCCAGGCCTGACTGGCGGCCAGGTAGAGGGCAAACAGCGTCTGGATATTGTGTATGTAATCCGATTGGGTCTCCAGTGGTCCCTCCACACCGAAGCGTTCGCAGAGCACACGCACATAGTCGGTCAGCGAAATTTGCTGCTGCAGACAGGCGCGATAGGCCTCGTCCAGGGCATCCTTGGTGGCCGGTTCCCCAAAGGAGCGCGGCCAGTCCAGCAGCAGTGCATCGATATCCTTGCGTGGCTGCGCATCGTACATGGCCTGCGTCATGTGCACCTGCTCCACCTCGCCAATCCACTTTTCGATATCCTTGCCGGACTTGGCCGTGGGCACCAGCGTGGCGGAGCAAGCGCCATGTCGGCCATTGCCGCCTCGACTGCCGCTCAGCACCGAGCGCATCTTCATGTTCATCAGGCTGGGTTCGCTCTGTGCGCCCGACGGCTCGTCCAGCAGCATCAGGCCCAGGCGCTGCAGCTGCTCGTCCAGCTCGCGTTGGCGTTGCGGCTGCAGCAGCGCCGGTGCCTGCACCTTCAGCATGGCATCCACATCGCCCACGGCGGGCACATACTCCGGTATGAAGGGCTGCAGATGATAGGGCGTCTCAATTGCCTGCGGCGTATACTTGAGTATGTAGGGAAAGAGCTCCTTGAGCTCCGGCTGCAGCGGCAGCTGCTCCCATTTGTCCGGCGTTAAATTGAATGTGGACACCTCCTGCCCGGCGTTGCGCTTCTGTTGCGTGGGCAGCGGCAGCTTTTGATGCGCCAGCTTGGCGCCCGTGGCCGCGTGCTCGCCGGCTGCTTCGTCGGAGCTGCCAAAGCTCAGGTGATCATCGGCGATCAATGGCTGCGCCCCTTTGGCATTTCGTGTGCTACCCGGTCGTGTTTGTGGGCGTGGCACTGGTCCAGCAATGCCGCCCAGCTGCAGCTCGCTGTCGTCGTCGTCGTCTTCGCTGTCATCGGCTTCGTCGTCGTGATCTATGATATCCTGCAGCAGGCCATCATCGTCCGCGGAGCTGCCCTGCATCTGCTGTGGATTAAACGAACTCACGACTCACGCTTCCATCTCTAGCTCCGGCTGGCTACTTACCACATGACGTTGCCTGGCCCCGGCCCGCTGTCCAGCCGCTGCTCCGCCCCTGCTAGACTGTCGCTCCATTTGCATGCTGCTGAGATGTTTGCCATCCGATGGCCCGCTGATTGTGATCTCCTCGTCGTAATAGTTCATGGTCCTGGCGTTGGGGCGTGGCACCGCAGCCTCTTACACTCCGCTTCTTGTTGCTGTTGTTGTCGGTTTTTAATGATTTTTCAGCACCTTCTTTTTGCGCACTTCCGCACAGCTTTCCGCCGAATTCGAGATACACTTGCTGGGAATTTAGCTGTTATCCTTGCAGGTGCGTCGCTTTTCTTTTCCTTTTTCCTACTGAGCTGCTTTACCTGCAACAACTGTCGATTGCTTGGGCCCGGGCGTTGTCAAGGCAACCAACCTGCCCGCCAGTTCTTGTTGTTTTCTCTCTGCTGGCCCGGCCTACTGATATGTTTTTCTACCGAAACTCTACGGTTTGTCCGAGGTGCTGTTTGGTTTTAATTACATGAAATGAAAATCTGAATTTTGCAAATACCCTGCCAGCTCAGTCCGGACATTGTCTGTGCCCTTTTGCTGTTGCCTGTGAATATTGTGTGTACTCGAAATTGAGTTAGTGGCTCATTCAAATGAATGAGCCGGTGTATGTCTGCGGGCCAATTTTGTAGGCTTAGTTTGTCGTGTTTTTATTAATGAATACTATTTTCAGAGTTTTTAAAAGGGGTTTATGGCAGCCGGCGCCTGTTAAGAGATCTTAATAGGGGTTTGTCTAGAATGTATCTAGAATGTAGGGCATAATTATGTAGTTCACACAATTATTTGATCTGCTTAATATTATTTTTAATAAAATAATGATATGCTGAACTTTTTGCCGACAAAATAATCATTTTATCCGTATTTACTAATATATGAGATTTTGTAGTCAAGAGAATCCGCACTTTTAATACCACAAGTCCAGATAAATAGATTAAACATTTTATACCCTTCTGTCTGTTTAAGTTTTCAATCCATCATCTATCTATCTTATCTTAAAATGTATATAGGCTTTTCTGTATATATGTTATTATATTCTGGTTCGAATAATTATGTCTTAGGAATGATCGGTATAAGATTGAGCTCGTAAATACGAGTATCGGACTACTACAAAATAGAGGCAGAAACGATTGAATAATTATTTTTTGTATGGATGAATTCTATCTTGAGGCAACATTAGCAATGACAAACTACTATATTTTGTATTACTTATTTATTTTTATTTACTTTATTATTTATATATTAATATTCCATATATTCATATTGTCACTTCCTTTCCTACAGTTACGACAACCTGTGCGTTCATACAAGTGCGTATCCCCCCACAGCAGCGACGCCCGTGAACGCAACTGGCGCTCGAGCGTGTTGCGGTTCGAAGCGGTTTGATGCGCTGTGCAAGCCGCAACGAACAAATATGAAAACACAACATAAAATATTTGCTGCTTTCATTCGGTTTTGGATTCTCGCGGTGTTCGTTACGTTGCGGCTGTTGCGTGGCTTTTAAATCAATTTCAAATAAACAAAAAATACGCTAACATTTTCCGGTGTTTTTACGACAATCAAATAACAAACGAGTGCTTGATTGTTGTGCAAAGCGCAACAACAAGTCATACAAAAAACCCAAAAATAAAAGTGCAAAAGAAGTTCGAGTGAATAAGTGAGTGAGAGAGGGAGAGAGAGAGAGAGAGAGCGCGATTTAGCGGGTGCGATTCTAAAAATAAAGGTAGTTAAATCCATAAACAACAACACACGTAATTAACGCTAATTAAGCCGGTCAATTGCTTTAATAACGCGGTTAATTTTGCATTAAATCTTGCGCAACTCGAAAGATATTTTTTATAAAACCAAGTTAATTAATAGCGCGCCTTTCACCTGCCCGCCCCTGCCCTCCACGCTCGTTCGACTAGACTTCATTAATAGCCGCGAATCTGGTGCTTGTGTGTGTGCGTGTGTGTGTAGGTGTGTGTTGTGCCTTGTGACTGGCAGAATTTTCATTATCAGACGCTAAAAGGATTACGAGCCCGTTCATCTTCATCAGGAGCAGGAGCAGCAGCAGCAGCAGCAGCAGCCCAGCCAAATATTTGCCAGCATCCGCAAACGGTAAGTTGATGCCCCTTTAACCAACACTCCAGCCCACTTCTGCACAGCCTCCTTCCCCTCCTCACCCCTTGCAACCCAGACAGCTTCGCTGCTTTATGTGTTGTCTTTCACGCCTACCTTATGCAACCGTCGCCCCTCTTCCATTTCCCCACTTGGACACAGCACCCGCTGGCGATTGCCTCAACAAAATGTTTTATATGTGCGCACATTTAAAAAGGGCCACCTCAGTACCCTATCCCCCCCATCCCCCTCAGCATCACCCACTCTAGAGCCCGGGTCAACATAGTGTTGGCCGTATTGTTAGCTTAAACTGTGCTTTGTGTCATTAACCGAAACCTGCCCCAAAACTTGTGTAATAAAATGAAATTGTTTTGAATTATTGAGATCCAGAATTTGGGAGCCCTCCGTTTTGCCCCGAAAAATATTTAAATATAGGGTATATTTGAGTTGAGTTAAGGTATGCATCTCTGACTTTATAAAGTGTATATATATTCTTGATCCGCATTGAGAATTGGTCTAATCTAGAAATTTGGTCGCAGCTCATGTTCCCTTCTGCCTCGAACTCTATATCATATATTATCATATATCTCATATTATAAAGGCTGAAAACACCTACTTAAACATGTAGGGTATAGGTTGATATGTAATATACACAGATTCAGTATATACATGTTTTTTCAAAACCTTACCCAAAATTTTACATTTAAATTAATTGAGTAATACCCTTGACTTTTCGTATTTACCCATATTTGTTAAAATTAAAACCCCAAAATATGATAAAAATTGGTCCATGAATACAGAAGTTATTTAAGATAAACTTTTATAAGGTCTGAGTAACTTTGGGATAGAACATCAGATTTCAAATGTTTAATTTATGTTGCTTGCAGTTGAATTCAACCATGCAGGGTATCTCCCAGTCGTTCAGACTCGCCTACAAATTACTTGTTTTTAATATAATTTATATTTGGCGCATTTATGGCCAACGGACAGTGTTCATTGTTGGTTGGGTTCCGCTTGGGCTCTGCCACATATGGAGCGAGTTTCAGGACTCGAATAGGTGTCTGGGGCATTAACAGTTAACATGTTGCGGTCTTTTGATTGCTGAAAAACTCTTTTCCTTTTTTTTTTTTATCAGCACATAAAAAGGTCCAAGTGGTTGCCCCTTTTTATGCACTGCGAATTGGAAAACAGTTTGGAAAAATTGGGTGCGCTATAGAAAGTTTATTGTCTGGAGCAGAGCTTATCAACGGGCTGCACATATACATATATATATATATATGCATATAGTATATTTATATGGTCACATATAAAGTTTCGGTTTAGTCAGTTGGAGTTTTGATAACAGCTTTTATGGCCTGGGCTTGGCCATGCACTTATGTAAATGCAAATCAACAGACGCTGGGTTCAGTGCACTTAAACAAATACAATATACGAACTTGGGTAGTACAGTGTTTTTTACATTTTAAGATATTGAAGATGTTTGAACAAAGTATAAACATTTTCTGCTTGCTCATACATAGAGATAGCTTATCAAGCTAATTTATTTATATTTCTTTTTTATTTTATATTTTTATATTTTCCTAATTTCTTATACGTTTTTAATTTATTACCTTAGGTTTTTTTTTTTTTTGGAGCGAAAGTGTTCGAAAAATTTCTGCGCTTAAATTATTAACGCGAAAGAGTTTTTTAATATATTCTATTCTATTTCTTAGTTCTTAGCTCTCATTTTTTCTGAGGGATTTGCAAGCATTGAATTAACATAATTTTATCTTCACGCTTGTTTTCTTAATTTATCGAAATTTATAGGAATAGCAATAACTGAATATTAATAAATTAATTTATTAATAATATGCAAAATGTTATCAACATCGAGCCGCTATATCATATAGGTTCCATAAGGACTTCAAAAGTAGGTTCATGTCTGGCAAAAAATTCTGTTCTCCCAGATATTTTCATTAACTCAGCTTTTGCGAGCTTCACTATTCTCACAAGGGTATTAAATATGCTTACTTTCTTGTTTTTATTCAAAATAAAATGTTACCCAATCGCATTTATCGTGGGTAAATGTTTCTAAGCATCCTGAATTTTTATGCATTAGTACTTTGTTTTTTTTACTATTTTTTCACAAGTCGAAAGAAAAGGGGAATCCCAAAAGTCTTATGTCGCTTTCTAGTTTATTTTTAAATAGTAATAAATCAAATGCTCAACTCAGCAGTCTTATTTATATAAAGAACTATGAGTACACCTGCGTTTTAAAATGTTGAATTTAATTAAACGTATTTTTCAATAATATTCCTCAAAGTTAATTAAGTTATCTAGCTGCCTGCAGTCAATGTGAACTTCAACATTCTGTAGACATATATTTTGATTATTTATTTACAACCTTGGCCACAATCAATTGCGAACAGATTCTGACCAATCTATTTACCTGCGATATTGATAGCTGCGTTTCATTACAAAATAAATCGAATTTCCTGACCTTATGGTTGAGGTCATGCCGTCTTCCTGCTTGATTTGTCGGTCTGCCACATTTGATGAGCAGCTAATTAATTTCCATTGCCAAATACTCTCTATGTTTATAGAGAGCGAAGAGAAGGCGGCTGGGCAGGGGCTTGGTCTCTTTAATATTGGCCAATATAAATGCCATTGCTTGCGGACGTTTTTATTTGTATTTGCGGTCTGTTTCATTGTAATCTTTTATGGTGCAGCCTAATGTTTTTTGCCTCAATGCTCATAACTTTGCCCGACCTATTTACGAAATTTCCATCCTGGTAGGGTGCGGGCTTATAGCGCCTAAAAGTGAGCAGTACTTGCTGTCCACTTTCTTTTTCATTGTCTGTTCGCTTATCGCAGTCGTTTGCCCTCGCCTAAGCATTTTTATGTCTGTTTTGCTTTGTCTCCTCTTTTTTGCTTGTACCCTGTGCGTAGGGTGAATGCTTAAGATAGGGTATAATGGTTCAGCAACTTTATAAAGTAAAGATGTGCTTGATCAGCATCAAGAAGGGAGGGTTTACATACACTGCAGCTCATAACTCAGCATAACTCGGATATTATGAGAGATATTGCCACGAAATACCTTCCAAACACTTTGCCTGAAACTGGTCGAGAACTTAATGAAGTTCAACCTTGATTTTAAGTACCTGCACATATTACTCACTCAACTGGAAGATCTGAAAATGTTATACTAACCGCAACATAAACACATGAGTTCGATTTTATATAAAGGGATTGAAAAAGCGCAGCTTGCGACCTCTGAGCTCTGGGCTGATTACAGGGCATCTCCCAGGCATGCATACTCGACTTGATTCTGGGTAAGCCTGTGTGTAGGCTTAAGGATGCGCTCTGCTTGGTGCTTGGAGGAGGAGTCCGGGATAATCATCAGCATGCGCGGCCATGTTCTCAAGTTCGTCGTCGTTTCAAGTTCAGCGAAAGTGAAACGTGTCGGGTATTTGGTTTTCGTTTTAGTGTTTGGGGGGACTTTTGCATAGGTTATGGGCAGGGGGGGGGGGGCTGGTGTGGAGGGGCTTGCTGGCAGAGCCATAAAAATAAAAATTGTTTGTGGAAAGTTCGTTTGGCAATTTGATTTGAGTTGCAGTCACAGTCACGCTACGTAGCACACACTCTTACACACTCACACACGCACAACAAAGCCAACGACAAAGTTTTCCAGACCCGTCACAACACATAAAGCGATAAGATGCCGAGCAGTAGGCTCGAATTATGTTTGACATTTTCAGCCAGATTGGTTTTTATTTAAATTAGTTTCGAATACATGTTGTAGGCATAGAATATACAGCTACCCGGCCCCCCTCACCCCCAGCCCACACAAGCTGCCTGTGTGCTCGCTGAAGTGTAAATACAAGTTTAGGAAAAAATGTATAAGAAAATAAGCAAAACAAATTGATTTTCAGTTTTTTGTTGAGATGTGCAAAAAAGTTTTAGATAAAAGGGTACATAAAGTATTTTATAATGAACTGTGACTTCATATTGGCCCATTAAATTTCCATTTAGATATTGCGGAAAAATCATATAGCTTATGCAGTAAAAATTAGCCTAGACTAGATATAGATTTCAGTTTTAATTCTTATTAGATTTATTCTTAATTAAATATATATTTATGCTGCCTCAGCTGCTACTTCAGATGAAGTTCCTTGAAATTTGCCGGTTATTTGATATGCCAAGGAAAAAAAGCAAAATCAGCTTCAGTTGCCGACTTTGAGACTCAGATTTCAGCGCCGAGCCCCGATCGATGACAAATTGCAAATAATCGCTTGTTCGGAAATGAAAATATTGTTTCTGAAGGCTTTTTGCTTTTTCGAATTTGTTATTATTATTATTTTTTTTTTATTTTAAATATTTTCAAGCGAAACGAGTTACCAGTTCCTACAAGCACTTGGCCTAGCAAAAATCCAACTGTTTACAAAAATATTTGAATATAATTTACTTATTGCTATTTACTGCGCGAGCTGTTGCTAAGCAAAATGCAAATAATTGTTTTTAGCAAGTGTTGCGCCTTAAATATAAATAAAAATATGAGAAAATAGGGCAAAATAAGTTTCATATTTGCGCAAGTGTCGCCAGTCACAAGGGGAGTAGAGTACTCTACGTGAAAATGAGAGGGAAAAGTGAGAACAGAAAAGTTTACTTTTTAGTGCCGAATTTCAATTCGATTCCTATTTTTATCGATTGCTTGTAAACGGAGTAAGTTATCGATTATCGGAAACAAACTCGATCTGCGCAGGCACTAGGGGCACCTACACCTTTCAAGTATATAGCTCTTATAGGCTCTGAGATCCTTGCGTTCATACATACGGACAGACGGACGGACGGACGGACGGGCGGACGGACATGGCTAGATCGACTTTTAATGCTGATCAAGAATATATATACCTTATGGGGTCGGAGATGCTTCCTTCTTCCTCCTACCCTTATATTCATTTTTAATGGGATCAGGGTATAAGAACTCTGATATTCTTACTGTCAGCCTGCTTATTTGTTAT